CCATCGGTTGGAATCGGCGAAACTGCTCCGTCGCCAGTTAAGTAAGTGTCATTCCACATACCACGAGATTTTGAGCACAAAAAATCCAGAATTGACGGTGTTCTCCATTGAAAAATCATGATTAACCTTGCGATTCGATTCACAGAAAACCGGCTCCAACACGTAATGCACTCAAATTGGGTGGCAAATCGAAGGATGTTGATAGTTTCGTTTACCAATTGAAGAATTGATCCATTCTCAGTTGAAACCATATTCTATCCCGAGAAATACGAAATTGCCTGAAGTAATTAGAATCACATTTATGTTTAATATTCCATTGCTGCAAAATGTACCAATTGTAATGGTGTTATTATTTCAATTTATCTACATTTTAACATTTATTCAATAAATTGCATTTCTTTCGAAGAAGAAAATTATACTTTAGTTTTTGGGTGTTTTGCTTGAATTAAGACATAAATGCCAAAGATTATTTTAAAAGCAGTCAATTTATTTGATATCGATCTAAAAAACGAGTTCAATCAAGTGTTTTTTTGGTTTCGAATGATTAATACAAAATAACTTAGCATTCAGTAAATACGTAATAATTGGTTGTTTTTAGGTGTATTTCCGAAAAGTGCAACCGGAAATACCTCCAGCTCGTTCCCTGTTTTGAACATTGGATCAAAATTTAAAGCATGTTCTAACGTCTGCAGTGAAATACGGAATTATGACTTTTTAATGAATCTCTTCAAAATTTTGATTTCGTTAAAGAAGTTATCACACAAAAGCTGAAGATGTAAAAGATAGACTTTGGTGACAGTCTGAGTCATATAAAAATGAATCCTTGGTAAACAGATCAAAGAAACCGAAAAGTACTATAATATGATATGTCGACTGCGTAGTATTGTTTCATACGCAAGTGCAAACAATTTAGATCTTTAAAAGAAGTATCGAGAGATAGAGTAGTGATTGATCATGCTTTTAATAATATATCAATTAAAATTATTTAACTTTTATTGCATGGGACGATATAAGAGGGACCAATTCAATCAATTCTAAACAGGAAAATTTAAACTACTGATCAAGGTACATAAAAATCTAAGTCGATTTATTAAAAATTTATCACATTAAAATGAAATATTTCCTTTCGATTTGTTTCCAACCTGTGAATACTAATAATAGTAGAAGTTGTGAACAAAGTGAAGACTAGCTTACGCCATACACATTGTTTTCATTTCGTTTGATGAGACGCTATCGAAAACTGCCTGCACCATAAACAGATGACGCACAGAGTATTCTAATCTATTTTGTGATGGGATTGTGGAACGAAGAAACCTGTACAAAAAACATAACATTTGAATTATTTTACGCGCGAAATTGTTTCATTTCACTTAAAACTTAATATTTAGCTTTACTGGGTTATGGTAAATACAGACAGGTGTTTTCAAAAATAAAGGAGAAAAAAATGTGTTTAGATCGAGAGAAGATGATGATGATTCTTAAGCTTTCCATTTGGGGCCCGGAGCAAATGCTCCGCTCTCTCCGCCCCAGATTCGGCTCCGGTAATCAATAATTTTGATTTTATTTAACAGAGCTCAAAATAAGTACATTTATCCTATTTGATAAAATTTACGATTGTTTGAAACACAAAAACTAATTCAATTGAATTTATTTGATTCATTGAATCATAAATCATAATCACAAATAATATTGTCAAATATGAATATGAATCATATAATCATGATTTATGTTTTGATTAATTTTTGTGATAACAAACGTGTGACTTTCAAATAAATCATGTCAGATTTAATCAATATAAAGAGTAAAAAGATTCCATTTGACATATGATTCAGTGTTTGAATATTCCTATTGATTCATTTAAACACTTTAATTTCATGATTATTTGAGCTCTGTTATTCAAAATTATTTTAACAGCAAACTACTTAAAAATCCAAATCGAAAAAAATGAATAAAATAAATAAACCAATAAAATTGCAATGGAAATGTAATTTAAATCTTTTGATTTTTCACAATATTTGAGCATTTGACGAAATTTTAAATAATGATTAGTCGTTGCCATTACATGAAGATGATTGAAGTGCAATTTACTTTTTTAATTAAATTCAAATGTAAACAGGACTGCACCATTACCATATGATTGTGAATAAATTGAAATTCGGACTACATCAATGAATACCGAATGTACAAACGATTGATTAAATTTAAAAAAATCAATTAAACGCAAAATTTCCAAAGTGGCAATGGTGATGAATGAATGGTGTATGGATTGCACTTTGTAAATTTCCGATATTATTCGACCGATGTGCGAACTTCCCACGTATTAATGTTACTGAGGAATTGGTTATGGAAAAAATCCACGATTTGCCAAACAATTTGGTGTCTGGTCCCGACGGAATACCGAATATGTTCATCAGAAACTGCATTCACACATTGCTGAAACCAATAACACACATATTGCGTGAATCGTTAAATTCTGGTTATGTACCGAACAAATGGAAACGCTCTTATGTAAGACCAGTGCACAAAAGTGGAGCTAAATACAAAATTGAGAACTATCGTGGAGTGGCATTACAATGCATAATACCAAAACTGTTGGACTCGATAGTGGCAAATCATTTGAACTATCACATGAGGAACATCATCGATGACAGCCAGCATGGTTTTGTCAAAGGAAGGTCAACAGTAACGAATCTGGCTG